TAACAGTGATTTGGTAGACTGTAGTAGTGGTTTGGCCGGCTATGGTGGTAGTTTGGAATTGGATGGTTCAAGGATAGTTTGGCAATAACACTCTCTACATGTGTCAAAATCCAATCGTAACAGTGTTACTTTAAGGGTGGAATTCTAGAATTATGAAACCAGGGCTAGGAACTTACCATTTCGCTAAACCTTGGATAGGAGCATGTCGTTTAAATCATTAAACTATAACGTTTCCTTTATTAACGTTGTGCTTATTTTAACATTATATATAAATGTTGGACCGATCATGTGATAATCAAACCAACATAAAGTGCTTCCAACGTTTATAGAAACCTTTTAAATAAATATGTGAAAGGAAACAAATTAAAAACTCCCTGACAAACCGCTTTACACACAGAAGAGAAACATAGATAATACGGTGAAGGTGAGTTAATTCACATAACCCAACCATCTAACCTTGTAAAATAAAATTGAAGTGAGTAAAAAATTAACCATCTCTACCATAGTCTCTGGCGGCTTGAAGCAGCATATCAGTCTAATTCTTTTTAAAAATTATTATATATTTTTTTAAGGGTTAATTATAGTAAATCTTATGTGTTTGGTATTTCTGTAGTGAGCATAAGTAAGTTTCAGAAATACAACTTAGCCCTTGTGTGATTGACCTTTTTTGTGGGCACTTACTAATTTCAAAGCTGCAACCTCAACCTCTATGTGTTTGGTCTTTTTGTAATGAGTATCTGTTGGTTTCGAAAGTTTTCTTAATTCAACCTTCAAATTTATAAAACGTTTCATCAATATTGTTGATAGATTTTAGACGTTGGATTGATTGAATTTAGGTGAATAGCAAAATCATCATTTTCCCACAAACTTAAATAGAATAACCTAAAAGTTCATTAAAAATTAGGGGTTATGTAGGGTCGCATTTTTTAAGTCAAAGGGTGCTCACTAAAAAAACAGCCAAAAACATGGATTGTTAGGACCAGTGTTTTAAAACCCGACCTGGCCCGGCCGGTTTAACAGGTTTAATCGGGACCCGGAAGCTTCAACAGGCCGGGTTTAACTTTTCTGATTCACCCCAAAACCCTAAGATTTAGGAGGATGATCGGCGAACAATTGACGACCGAAAGGTTGGGGCTTTTGAAGAGTAAGTGCCGGTGAATGGAATGGTGGTGACAGCGTTGATTTCCGGTGAGTAAATCGACCGAAAATCGAACAAACCTGATAGCGGCAACAATGGGATTTTGACGGCGATTGGCGAGGCTAACGGGGGTGGGGTGAGGTGGGTTGGTCAGGAGGAAGAGGGGAGTGATTCATGGGTGATGGGGAGGGTTTTCGACACCGGCGTCAATGAGATATGGCCTGGAATGCCGACGCCGGCGTCGGTGAGATCTGACTGAAATCGAACCTATTTCAGCCAGATCTTGAGTAGATTTTAACGAAAATGGGCTTAAGGGACGATTGGGGTTGCATCTGGGTGTTGTCGCTGCCAATCAGTAGCTGGTCAATTTGCATTTGGGGTGTTTTTGATAAAGTTCAAACCTGTTGGGACTTACAAAATTTTTAGGGGTATATTTGCTGAATTTTAAAAGTTTGTCAACTAGTCAAACCGGTTAAACTGGTCCACCCGGGACCCGGAAACTTTGCTGGGTTTCACCCCGGGTTGGGTTTTAAAACATCGGTTAGGACCCTATTAAGGAATGTGAAGAATTACAGGCATGTTTGTTATTTTACATTCACTTTAGTTAAACTTTTTATTAAATTAAAAGTTTTCGAATCTTTCTAACTTTTCAAATTCTTTTATAAATGTGTTTATTTTATTATCAAATATTGTAACATAAGAATGAAGAGATTATCAGCTACATCTATAAATGAGTTTATTTGATTGGAAATATATAATGTAGAATGTGAGATAAATATGATGGATTCTTGTCTGAATTATCAGCCCATCTTATTAATTATTTTATATTATATGTTACCAATCTGTTATATTATTATTAATGTTACTAATTCAATATTACCGTTATATGTCGAAAATTGCCACCCTTAAATGCAAGTTTTCAGTACCAAAATCTGTCAGAAATTGCATTAGAAACCCTTAATTAAGATAATAAAATTACACAACACTTGAAACTCATGCAAGTACTTTTCATGAATCAAGATTCCTTTCCTTCTCTTACAAATTTTGAACATAGAATTCAGCTTTACCAATTATTTAGTAATCCACCAAGACGACCACATTATTATATTATGAATCGACACCAATTTTGTCAGAAATTCAATGGCGTACGTGGGTTTTTAATTTAGGAAAAATCTCGAGTGGTTGAGTTGTTAAAAGAAGAACAGGAACAAAGAAACGTTCATTTTTGCAGAGAATAGCAAGTTGCACTCGCGTTCAGTGCCTCTTTTATGAAGGGTTGTGACTTGTCTCAGCTACAAGCCAAAAGTGAACTGAATTTTATGAGAATCTTGATCTATATAATCTTTGATTTTATCAAAACATTTGTTAATCAATTACCCTCTTCGGTCCACGTAATTTCCATTATGGGTATATATATGCATTACTTAGGGTTTTTTTTTTTTTTTTTTTTTTGGATGACTGGGGCGTTTATTATTTCTACTCATATTCCCAAAATATTGTTTGACACATTATTTGAGAAATATTTGTCTATTTTTTTAATTATTTTTAGACCCCTTAAGTTTATTAATTTCATAAATACCCTCAAAAAAAAGTTTAAAAATTAACAAAAACACCCCCACCCACCAATACTAACCAGATTCCAGCAACCACCACCGGTGGTAGCCGGAATCTATCACAACGGTCTATACCACCACCGAAAATGGTCGATAATTTACTAATCTAGCCTTTTCCGACCAGATCCAAAGTGGATCTGGCTGGAAAAGGTCAGATCTAGCTGTCAGCGACGGCCAAATCTTGGCCATTATTGACAGACAACGACGGCCATATCTTTGGCCGTCGCTGACGACCAAAGATGGACATTTGCGGCCGTCAATGGCCAGATCTGGCCGTAGATCTGGCCTTTTCTGGAAAAGGCCATATCAACGCCCTACCCGTAAAATCCGGCCGATCTATGGTGTAACGCAATTTTTCGACCAGATTCCGACGATGGTGGCTAGAATCTGGCACTGTAGGTGGTGGGGGTGTTTTTGTCATTTAAAAAAAAAATTATATATTGGGGTGTTTATTAAATTAGTAAACTTAGGGGTTTTTTAGAAATTTTTAAATTTTACCTCGTAATACTCCTCTATTCAACTATCCAATATTATCCCCAAAATCCTATCCAAAATAATAAAACAAATGGACCCTGGGATGTTTGGTCAATTTGCACGTACCTTAACTAATTCTCAGAGTTAATTAAGTTCAATGTTTCAAGTAAACCACAAATGTGATAAGTTTCCATAAGATGGTTTAAACTAAAAAACTCAATAAAAAGAGCAAATATTCTTTACCACCGGATCAACCTCTTGGAGTTCATTGCTTAGTATTTTAAGGTAATTTACAGATTTTCTTTCTTGACATAGTAATCTATTTTTGTAGAATAGATTAATGAATTAACGTGTAATATGATTTGATCCATTATATTAATCCCATACAAATAATCCAACGTGATTCAACTTCAGATGGATTTCTTTTAATAATGAAGACGTTTGAAATAATAATTTCTTATTTATTTATTTTATTTTATTTTTTGTGCACCTTATAAATGAGTTAAATTCCACCTTTATGCTTGTTTTTCTTGTTACTAGTCATAAAAAAAAAATGATCTGAAAAAATTATGGTCCAATATGAAAGTTTAATTAGTTCCTGTAAATCAAATTTTTATTTTGAGATTTAGTTTAAATCAGTGACATGAGTTTAGTAATTTTTTTTTTTTTTTCCTCTTGTTAATTTGTATAGGGACAATCATTTCTTTAACCATCTTTCATTACTTTTCCAAATTATATATTCACATGTAATGGCTTTGAAAATGCATCTTTTTGTGTGTTGGTTTATTATTCTTCAAGGTATCAAACGCAAGAAAATAATTGGTTCTAAACATATTTTTATCATTTTGTACTTCGAAGATAAATATCTGGTACTGATAGAAGAATCAATCAATCAATCAATCAAAATAAATGGCCACAAGAAATGAATGATAAGTGACAAACTGTTCATGCTTCTACTGCTTTTGTTGTTGCCCCTTTGCATAATGTTATCATGACCCAATGAACCAATATTTTATGCGATTACTATATTTTAACGTTACATATAACCAATTATAAAGAATTCAAAGTTACAATATGAAATCATGAAAATTTTATACACAAATCACACGTGTGGTTTGGTTGATAAATATTTTTCATTCAATTATAATCATATTATAAAAAAAATAATAATAATAAAGTAATTAGGTCATGGTTGGAATGAATGGACAAGGAAATAGAAATTTATTTATTTTCAAATATTTGAAATTTTATTTATTTTAAACTATTTAAATTTTTTTTAAATATAAATAAAATAAATTAAGGATATTTTGGTCCAAAAGCAACAAATAATGTTTCATACCATCAACACTCTATATTACAACCAAAGTAAGTAATATCATTTTATTCGCTCATAATACTTTCATTTCATTGGTTTTCATTCCTCGTAATTTTATTTTATTAATTTCTAATCGACGTTCCAAACATGACCCTATAGGTTAAGGTATGGTAAATATCTGCAAAACCAAGTCTTAATTTGCAGCTCAAAATCGGCAAATACTGCTCTAAAATCTGTACCTAACTCAAACTTTCAGCACCAGGCACGCTGCTCAGGCCTCAGATCACCCACGCTACTATTGCTTATCTGCTCCCACTATCCATCCAAAAACGAATCATGCCACTTGTCCTCCTTGGTCTACGTGTCTCTCCGACGTGTCCCCGCTCCCCACTCTTCCTTTTTAACCTGGCCCCTCTTCTCCAATTCATACACTCACTCTCCCCTCCCCTATCCTCTCTCAATTCTTAAACTCTCTCACTTTCAACTCTCAATAAAACCAGTTTGAAAAATCTTTGTTAATCTTTTGTATCTTTAACTCTCTCTTTGTAAAGATGGCGGAAACTTCTAGTAGAAAGCTGATCGTTGAGGTCTGCAACGCCAAGAATTTGATGCCAAAAGACGGTCAAGGGACTGCAAGTGCTTACGTGATTGTGGACTTCGATGGGCAGAGACGAAGAACGAAGACTAAGTTCAGAGATCTGAATCCGCTGTGGGATGAGAGACTTGAGTTTCTTGTCCACGATACAGAGTCTATGGCTGCAGAAATGTTGGAGATAAATCTATATAACGATAAGAAGACTGGCAAAAGAAGTACGTTTCTTGGGAAAGTAAAGATTGCTGGTTCTTCTTTTGTAAAAACTGGATCCGAGACTCTTGTATACTATCCGTTGGAAAAGCGAAGCGTGTTTTCGCAGATTAAGGGACAGATCGGGCTTAAAGTTTTCTACATAGATGAAGATCCTCCGGCGCAGGCGGCGGATGCATCTGTAGAAGCGGCGGCACCTCAGACGGCGGAAGAGAAACCGCCGGAGGAAAAAAAAGAAGAGAAAGCTGAGGAGAAAAAGGAAGAGAAAGCCGAGGAGAAGAAAGAAGAAGAGAAACCTAAAGAAGAGAAGCCAGCGGAGGAGACTCCTAAACCTGCGGAGGTTCCTCCGCCGGAGGCTCCACCGGTGGAGGTAGAGAATCCGCCGTTGGCTCATAATGATAAACCGAGCAACACAAAAGATAAAACGATAGTAGAGACGGTAGCAAAAACACAAGATCTTCGCCTTAATGATCGTGAGCTTCGGTCTCTTGCTAGCGATCGGAGCCGCAGCGCTTACGATCTTGTTGATCGTATGCCGTTTTTATACGTACGTGTCGTGAAGGCTAAGCGAGCCAGCGCTGAATCTAACGGTCCGTCGTACGCTAAGCTCGTGATCGGTACTCACAGTATTAAAACCAAGAACCAGACTGATAAAGATTGGGACCAAGTTTTTGCTTTTGATAAAGAAGGTTTGAATTCCAGTTCGTTGGAGGTTTCAGTCTGGACCGAAGAGAAGAAAGAAAACGAAGAGGCTGTTGAGAATTGTTTGGGAACGGTGGCGTTTGATTTGCAAGAGGTGCCAAAAAGAGTCCCACCAGATAGTTCTTTAGCTCCACAGTGGTATAGCTTAGAATCGGAAAAGTCACCTGGAAATGACGTCATGCTCGCTGTTTGGATCGGAACGCAGGCTGATGAAGCCTTCCAAGAGGCTTGGCAGTCGGATTCCGGTGGGTTGATACCGGAGACCCGAGCCAAGGTATACTTGTCTCCCAAACTTTGGTATTTGAGACTAACGGTTATCCAAACCCAGGATTTGCAGCTTGGTTCGGGATCCGAGCCTAAGGTTAGGAGTCCTGAGCTTTATGTCAAAGGTCAACTCGGAGCTCAAGTTTTCAAAACGGGTCGAACGTCGGTTGGGTTGTCACCATCCAGTTCAGCAAACCCGACTTGGAATGAGGATTTGGTTTTTGTAGCTGCTGAACCGTTTGAGCCGTTTCTAGTGGTGACAGTGGAGGATGTTACAAATTGGTGTGCGGTGGGCCATGCAAAAATACAAATGTCAAGCATCGAGCGGCGGATTGATGATCGGGCAGAACCAAAATCAAGATGGTTCAATTTGGTTTGTGATGAGAACAAACCATATGCAGGAAGAATACACGTGAAGGTATGTCTGGAAGGTGGCTACCACGTGCTAGATGAAGCAGCTCACGTGACTAGTGATGTTCGAGCTGCCGCTAAACAACTAGCCAAGTCTCCAATCGGTTTACTTGAGGTGGGGATTCGTGGTGCCACCAATTTGCTTCCAGTCAAGACTAAGGACGGTACACGTGGCACTATTGATGCTTATGTTGTGGCTAAATATGGGCCCAAGTGGGTCCGTACTCGTACGATCCTTGACCGATTTAATCCACGGTGGAATGAGCAATACACGTGGGATGTCTATGATCCATGTACAGTACTCACGATCGGTGTGTTTGATAATGGAAGGTACAAGTGTGATGAATCAGGGAAACCAGGTCAGGATATTAGAGTTGGAAAAATACGTGTACGGCTCTCAACGCTTGATACAAATCGTGTGTACTTAAATTCGTATTCTCTCACTGTACTGTTACCTGGTGGGGCCAAGAAAATGGGAGAGATCGAGATAGCCGTTAGATTTTCTTGCTCATCATGGATAAGTGTGATACAAGCGTACACTAGTCCAATGCTACCAAGAATGCACTATCTGCGTCCACTGAGTCCACCCCAACAAGACATTCTGCGCCACACGGCTATGCGCATAGTGACGGCTCGGCTAGCCAGGTCCGAGCCGCCATTGGGACAAGAAGTTGTTCAGTACATGATAGATTCAGACACACACGTGTGGAGTATGAGGAGAAGCAAAGCTAATTGGTTCCGGGTAGTAGGCTGTTTGACACGTGCGGCAACTCTGGCACGTTGGTTAGATGGAATCCGTACTTGGGTGCACCCTCCCACCACAATTTTAGTGCACGTGCTACTTATAGCAATTGTGTTATGTCCACATCTAGTGCTCCCCACTGTATTCATGTACGCCTTTTTAATCTTAGCGTTGCGATTCCGTTTTCGCCAACGGGGCCCACTCAACATGGACCCAAGGCTCTCTTACGTAGACGTGGTTGGCCCTGATGAACTTGATGAGGAATTTGATGGATTCCCCACCGCACGATCACCAGATGTGGTCCGTATCCGATACGACCGGTTACGGGCCTTAGCGGGTCGAGCACAGACACTGTTAGGTGACGTGGCAGCACAGGGAGAACGTTTGGAGGCGTTGTTTAACTGGAGGGATCCAAGAGCCACAGGGATATTTGTGGTATTTTGCTTAATCGCGTCATTGGTTTTTTATGTGGTGCCGTTTAAGGTGTTTGTTTTAGGATGTGAGTTCTATTACCTGCGCCACCCAAGGTTCCGAGACGACATGCCGTCTGTTCCGATGAATTTTGTCCGGCGACTACCGTCGCTTTCCGATCAAATCCTGTAGATTCACGGTTGCTTTGTGAACTGTTTTGGTGGATGTTTCTGTTTGTCGTTTAATATAATTAATTATTGTTTTATTATTTAATTAACGGGGTTTATTAATGAGGCTAAAAGAAGATGTTCTTAGAATGCATCAAATTAAAATCAAGGTGGGAAATGTGACCGTTGTGGTGTGTGGGCCAACTTTCATTAACCTTTTTTTCTTTATGGGAAAAAAGTTGGTGAACGAATTTTAAATGTTGGGGGCCTTGGGGCAAGGTGACCGTTAGAGGAGCGCAGGGATTTTGCTGCTATAATTCTAATTTCATATATTATAGTAACAAAAGTAATATGCCCCTTTCCTTCTGTCTATATCGTGTCATTATAGATTAACAGAGCCATTTTTAGTTTTACTGGTAAAACTATAAAAAAGTGTGCTTAGTTAATTGTTACAGGATATTTTAGTGATTTTATTTATAATTTTATAATTTATTTTTAATTAAATGTAAAACTAAGGATAAAAGAGCGATTTTACAATTTTTGTAACAGAGAATTAACGAACTTCGTGAATAAGGGTGGTTTTTGAACAATTTATGAAATGTCAAGCGTAGTTTTTGAGTTATACAGTACAATTATCCATTTAGCTACAATTTCTCAAAACCTAGGGGTGGTTGTTAAAAATAACCAATAAAAAAATATGATATGAAAAACTTCTATAATTTTGATCCAATGACTGAAAAAATTACACAAGTTTAAAGCCATTGGTTTAGCTTTTTATGATGAGATTCAATTCACTTGAAAAAAATATAAATTAGATTTAATCCTACCATTTAAATACTTGATCTAATGACTAAAATATGTTGTCAAAAGTTACGTAAAAAATCGGGACTCGATCCTAAGCTACCCCTACAGGGAAGGGTTCCGCAACCCTCTTTTTAAACAAATTTTGACAAAAGTTTGGTCCCTTGATAGAATTTTAAAAAGAAAGACTGAAAAGTTTTATGTACAATAGTCTTTGACTCCACGTATTCATTCAATTTCTTTCTCTAAAATGTACTGTTTTAGGGGTGTTTGTCTAAACTTATAGTTAGTCAAACTAGTTTATAAGCTCTAAAATTAAACTAATATGTTTGTTTAACTTTTTTGAACTTATAAGCCAAAAAAAAAAAAAAAAAAAAAAAAAAAATAAGTTGGTTAATTTATAGTATTTGTTGATTGCTTTTAAAAACATAACCATATAGATTAAGATGCATGATATGCATCTCCAATTTCTTTACCATTTTAGTCTTAATAATCTTCTCCTTTACATTTTAACAAGTAATACATTTACATAATCTAGATTTATGAAAAGAAAACATAAATTCGATGAACACAGTGGGGATAGAGAAACATACATGTCTTTCATGTCTTTCATGAATTTTCCACAGCAATTCATATTCATGCATGCAACATGTTGGGATGTTTATCTTTTTATTTTTTTAAGTGTTTAAATTTTTATTTTGAGCTATAGCGATATTCCCCTTCCCCATTTTGGTTTTAAAAAATTTAACTTCTTATTATAATACAAAATTGTAAATAATGTTCCAATGTGCTATAGCATTTCTTTCAAATCATCTTCTCCACTTTTTCTTTTTCAACATAATATTTAATCTTAATCTGTAAGATCTTATTTTCATATATTGTAGGAATATAAAAAACAGTAATTTAAAATAACATAAACATGAACTCAAATTATCAGTTGATTTATAAGATTTCAACATGAGATTTAGTTTCTGTTAGAGTCCAGTCAAGGGCTTTTCTAAAGTCCAATTAACTAGACTCCTACATAAGGGTCCAGCTAGAGTTTAGTCAACAGCTGACAGCTAGCCCAGTAGTCCAGTCAAGGAACCTTTCATGAGTATAGTTAATTGGACTCTAGTGCTACACAGAGTCCAATTAATTTTATCTTTAAAGAAAGAATGCATTTAGATATGAACTAATGATGAATTAATGCATACTACATGGATTTGAATGATGTATATCTTGACCAAGCGGCTTATCTTGATACAGGTATACATATCTTTTAACACTGATCAAATGAAGTTTACTCGTAGTATCTTGATGAAGAAAATCATCATCAAGATTATTGTTACAAGTTGATTGAACATTATGTTTACATATTATTGAAGTTTTTACTTATCTTATTTCTTTTACCGTGCAAGGGCATTTTATTAAACAAATTAAGATATCCATAATATCAATATTTCTAGCAATGAAAGAGTGTAAATCAAATATATTTATATCAAACCAATGATCAATACATACGTGAGATTGATTTGGAATATGAAATCTATCTACACTGCCTCTTTGAAAAACTCTTAGTTGAAAGGAGTCTTGTTAGTAAAGTTTTCAACCTCCTAGACCCTGGTCCAGGCCTCAAAACTCCATAATTTTCACTTTGAAAACCTGAACATGAGTTCTTTCCACTCTTTGAACACCAACCTCCGTAAGTGTATCCCCGACGGCGCTGCCTTTTGAGGATCTCTTGATCGATTTTATCGAGAACTTTGTTATTCTGCTTAAATTTTCTGGCAAACGGGCGGTTGCTTAGAAGCATTCTTCTGAAATCTTTGAGGCCTAGGGACCGCGGATGCTGCTTGGGAGGATTATCCCAAGTAATGTAATGGAGATCGTGGTTCACAGTGGTGTTCTTGTAGTCTTCAGAGTTGCATATAACTGTCTGGAAATATCCCTCTGGAGAAGACACAAAGTTGGTGTAGTAAAGAAGGAGATTCCTCGGCAAATTGTCCCATCCCACTATGCAATACTCTGCGAAAGATCTTGATAATATTGTCCATGCTGAACCTGATGATGCATTGTAGTTCCAAAATTATTATCCTCGGCAGAGATAAAATGAACACAGATGAAATGATGTAAAGAAATTTCTTTGCCCCTTTAGTCTAGAAGACAACCATCCAAATAAAAATCACATTCTATGACAGTTTTTGTTTATGTGTTTAATCATGCTTCCAACATTAGTCAACAAAATTTTCATTTTTATCAATTAATGAAGTAATTTTGGCATGTCTCCAATATATGTCAACACTCATTTAACTATATGAAGAAATGTTTAACATTAAGAACCACCCCTAGGTGGTTGGATGGGGCGATAGCGACTTCTGGTTGTATTACTTAAGAAGTCTTGAGTTCAATTCCTTTTGGTTGTTATAACAGGGGAGGCCACTAGAGGATATACCTGGTCGTTAACCTCAGGGCCCCGAAGGATTAGTTAAGGTATGCGCAAGCTTGTCCAAACACCCCCGATCACCCAAAAAAAAAAAAAAAAGTTTAACATTAGGTCCCCAACAAACCCCGGAAAAGAGAAAATGAAAATAGTTGTCTTTGAGACTCTAGATCTTGCCTTTCTAAATAATTCTAATTTCTAAAGTTACTGATATGTTGGATCCTAAAATATTTATATATTTTTAGACATCGATTTATGTAAAATCTAAAAAGGGCCGTTAGATTAGGAAAGCACATGCCATGCTAAGAGTATGAGATTTGCAGTGCATGTAACTTTTGTAACTTGATCTAGAATAGTAGAATCAACAAAAGAAAAACTTAAGTAAGATAAAAATAAATAAATAAAATTCTTATTTTATATAGCTACCAACTGCTTAATTATTTATTTATCAAGAAACCCAGCATAAGATAAAAAAAATAAATGAACTTGTGCACGTTTTGGATAAGAGATTGAACAATCAATTAAGTGCGGTGATAACTGATAACTACTACTGGGTGCTCTGATGATAAAAGAGAAGCAGAAAATTTTATAAGCTCTCGAGTTTGAGTCTCTTTATACACTAATAAAAGTGACTATTGAGAGTCTTATTGACAGTTTCTAAGGGCCGTGGCCGGTGGTTCCAAAGGCTAGGGGATTAGTTGAGGAAAAAATAAGTGTGGTGATGCCGACGTTTTAGCTAAGCCAGGTAAAGTGATGGAATGCCGAATTTAAAATATTCTAGAGTTGTTGATTTGCAAATATACCCATCAATGCCAGCTTTCAACCACCACTGACCTACCACCGAATAAGACTAATTGCCACACAAATATTACAAAATCAAAAATAAAATATGGAATAAATGAAAGGCACACTCCACATTATACGTAACCTATTTGAATGGTACACTAAAACTCAAGAGCCTGCATTTTCATTTATCTCTGATTTAATTTCATTTTTAAGGAACCGATTTTTTTTTTCCTTATTAAATTACACAACAAAGAAGAGCTTTTTTCTTGTTAGTATTATTTAGGTTTAGTTATGAGTTGAAGCAAGTTAATGATTAAGACTACCTACAAGAGGAAAATTGAAGAAAAGACATCATTTATTCCAAATGACACAAGCTTACCAAAATAAAGAATTTTCTTTTCTTTTTGGTACAATAAAGTTGGGTGAGAAGCACTTCTTCATGAAAGTAACGTGTGAGAAGCACTTCTTGATGAAAGTAACTTAAGAAGAAGACAATTTGGTTGTTAATTAACAATGTAATAATTTTTTTTTTTTTGTTTTGTTTTAAATACCTAAAACACCTGGTCCCATGTCCAAAAACCCCACCAAAATTAATTTATTTATTACACTTTTAAAACTTTACAAGTATGTACAATGTGCCTTTGAATCCGTGTTGTTACTCACTTCCTCAGAACTTCACATGCTAGTGCTAAGTTTTCAGTCTTTTTTGTTTCAACCAAAAACCAAGTTGCAGTGTGAAAACTTATGGAGAATGCCAATATTAATTTTCTACTTGGGATTAAAAAAGAAAAAAGAAAAAGAGAGATTAATTTAATAAAAACCTGTATAGAGCTTGAAAGCATTTGGAATCGTCCTCTGCTTGATAACCCACCAGATCTCTGATTTGTTGATGCTGTAAAGCCCTGGGTCTATTATCATTGGTTTCGCTCTCTTATTCCTGAAAATTCATTATCCATTAATATTTTCTTTTTATAAACATTCATAAATATAACAAAATATCCTTTAAAGAGAATGATAAAATCTCTTACAATTTCCAACCCAACTGACTACTGTGCTGTACAAAATTGAGATCTCTCGGCAAGTCAGAAAATGCATCAATCAGATCTGAAAACCCAAAAATGGTTTACATTTTCTGTCAGTGAAACACAGAGAAGGAAAAAAAAATAATCCTAAAAAATATTTAAAAGAAAAAAGGAAACACTCACCATACCATCTTGAGTCACCAAAGGATAATCAGAAGCACTAAGATTAATAAACCAATCCCATTTGCAGCATCTCAAAAGCATGGCCATTGCATGAAGAGTTGTGGCCAGCATTGTTGGACCTCTGTAGGTCACCAAGTTTGGTTTTCCGACCATGTAAACATTATTCACCAGGCTGAAAACTGGTTCATTTGAGATAAATTCTGCAATTTCGTTTTGCTCATTCTCTGGAGCTCCCTTGTCCATGTGAATGAGATAGTAATTTCCTGGATGGTACATAGCCAACAGGGCTCTTTTCAACTTGACAGTGTCGCCTTTTGATGCAGAAATTAAGTATGCAAAGGTTACTGGATATGGGTTCTGAGATTTGAGTAGAATGTTGTTGGAGGATACGGCAATGGATGGTTTTGTGATTGGGATGTAAAGATAGACAAGGCAGAAGAAAATTGCAGTGAAGATGAAGAAGATCATGGAAGTTTTGATGCCCATCTTGGTGGGAATGTTGCGAAAATGGTGAAGAAATGAAAGATTTAAGGGAAAAGAGAAGAGAAAGAGAGGCAGTTGTGAAGTGGAGAGGTCAGTTAAAGATGGAGGGAATAATAAAAAGGAGAAGGAAGTGTGTGGATTAGATTTAGATCTTAAGAGGGCATATTTTACTTTCATCCTTTAATTTTGAAGTATATAACCTTGCCCCGGTCCAACGAGATATAAACACTTTAGTCTTGTTAGATGATTGATGTTAGTATTATTGACCTACTTTCTTAATACTATATGAGTAAATATGACATATTAATGGAATATACACTTTAGAAACTCCTTACGTTTTTACGACAGTGGATCAAAAACACTAACTTTATTAATCTCACAGGACTGGAGTGTTTGTATTTCATAGTATTGGGGTACAAAGAAACCCTAAACTTCAGGGATGAAAGAAGCATCCCCGCAGAGAGAGTTCCTTCCTTTGAAGGGAAGGCATCCAAATGTCAAGAGTATGATCAAGTGTTGGTGGGTGGATTATTTAATAAAGTGACTCCGTGGAGTCTTGAGAGTTACTAATAATATGTGCATTTGAGAAAGTGAGAGGTTGGAGAGTAGGGGGCTTTTGTGGAAATCAACTAGGATTGGAAGGAAGGAATTCCCTATATCATTGAAAACAGCCAAGGATCTATTAAGGTGTTTACTCCTTTTCGTTAATATTTGATCCAAAGCGGGAAAGTTGTGCAAAATTTCATAATTTTACTTGAGTGCTCTAGTTTTAATAAGACAAATATATCATATTTTAACCACCACAGGAAGATCTCATGGTTAAGAGTGTTCAAAAAAATGCAGAAAATCGAATCGAATCAAATTTTTGGTTATCCGAAAAACCAGTTCGATTTTGGTTCAAAAAAAAATAAAAAACCAAATTTTCAATTCTGTTACTAGTTTGGGAGAATATAGAAACCGGTTAACCGAAACTAGTTTTACTAATTGGTTTATTATAAAAATAAAAAATAAAAAAATCCGATTTATTATAAAAATATTAAATTAAAACCAGTTAACCGGATTTTACTAACCGGTTTTCCCCTTAACCGGTTGGAAAATTCATGAACCGAAAAATCAGTTTTGAACACCCCTACTCATGGTAATAGAGCAAAAAGAAATTCTATGAACTCTTGAGTTTAAGTCATCTAAGCACTAATAGAGGTGGCTACTGGAATTCTTATCCAACCGGTAGTTAAAATATACGCAAACTAGTGTGAACACCCTAATGATATCATATCTACCTAAAACTAAAATCAAATAAAAATAAACAATTTAGCCCATTACTTGTTTTGTAAACACTGATTTAAACGAAGGAGGAAAAGCAGGTCTCACAATTTCAAATGGTTGGTTCTATTAGTTATATTGATAATATAAATGTCATATTTGATATTAATACTCTGTTATTGGGGTGATCTAAATTATGACATGATATTGCATGCCATATGACATGTTGATCATCTAATGTTGTTGTATAGGGATATTTTACCTTACTTGCCTCCATAATGTGGTCTGTAGCAATTAAAAACTTTCTCAAATACTCCTGATAATGATAAAAAAAAAAAAGGGATCAATCTTGTGCATGACTTGAAAATATATATCTCTTCATACATTTAATAATATTGTGCACAAAATATTATATCCAATTATGAATTATACAACTTCATATCAAATCAATTGATACAACTCATTTTGCATTTATTTTGTTATTATCACTTTTCACTAGTGGACAACAAACACATTCATTACCATTGAAATCTATTAAAGTCGGTTAAAAAGTTTCCTCATGCACTAATGTAGTAAAAACCTTAGTTATAATATGTTGATGCAAAAATCCGTATTAGGCTCCCAACTAGCCCAATTGCAAAAGGCTCCGCGCTAAGGCCCAACTCTAGTTGGCCCAATAGTAGATGGCTTTATGCCACGGCCCAACTCCAATTGCACTCAAGCAAAAGCCCAACTCCAATTGACCCGAAAGCTTAAGGCTCAATGTCACAGCCCAACTCCAGTTAGGCCTATATCAAAACTCATCCTGTGAAAGGACCATCCAGCAAGATAACACATTCTGTAAGAAGGACCGTTATATGAGCTGGCCGATTATACGAGTTGGTCCATACCACAAGTTAGCCTACTCTATGAGTTGGGTTACTCAACGAGGTGGATCACCCTATGATCAAGGTCACCCTATGAATTGGGTCAACCTACATTTTGGGCCACTCCACGAGTTAGGCCTTTCAACATTATAAGTTACCTCAGGTTTTAGTCAATCAGTCTACACTCATCCCACAATAGGACTCTAAATCCCACACATATCCTAGTTCATCCAAGTCACCTAGTCTTACATGAACTAGTACTCCTACTCATACATAGATCAGCACTACGAGTTTCCTGTTTACTCAAACTCTTATTGTGAGAACATCTAGTTCTACAAGGACTCAAGCTTCTTTGGCTCACTATATAAACAGATGTCAGCTCTCTCATTATTCATTCAGTCACATCTCCTCTGACTATATCACTAAGTTTTTGCTCCCAAGAACCATCGCCTTTCCCAATTGTAGAGCCTAGTTCCGACTAACTCTACCCTCGATAATCGTCATAGAGTCATGCCTTGGCAACTCTAAGTTGATCAGTCGCACCCTAGCCAACCATTCCAGGTAAACCCTTACCCGTTCTCAGCCTTACTAAATTCCTTTCAATCGTGCTAACTTGAATGTTAGAGTGCCTACGGTCAACACCTCATTGGTGTCTCTCGAGCTTTCATGTTCACTCTTTTTGTCCCTGCAGGTCTACGAGATTGTTACTGACCTCATCCTTACGACATTCAAGGTAGATTTTACCGTCTACATAATACTTATCCTTACTCTATATCCTCTCATACTAAAACCTCTTCTTCTCCCACAATAAATTACCTTATATTGTTTTTCAAATACCACAATTTCAACCATATATTCCTTTTGCAAAAATATATAAACACATCTAATATGCTCTTTTACCTTACTCTCATAGATGACACTTCCTCATTCTCTGTCATATTAAAACCTCTTCTTTCCCATTACATAATCCTGATATTGTTTCTTAAACGCCACAATTCTCCTATTTAAGCCTTTAGCTCTTTCCCACAACATAATCTGATATTGTTTGTTAAACGCTACAAACTTCCTATTTAAGTCTTCAGCCCTTCCTTCTACTTTTAGTGTATTGATCCAATGCAAAATATTAGTGTATCATCTTATGCAAATTTATAACTCTCAATGGAGTCTTGAGAGTTACTAATAATATGTGTAGTTTGGAAAGTAAAAGATTGGAGTCCGGAGAGACAAGGGGCATTTCTGGAAATCAACTAGGATCAGAAGGAATTCCCTAGGCCTAGATCACTGAAAACATCACATGATCTAATACTGGTAACGTGTTACCTCCTTAAGTCCTTTTCATTAAATATTTCATCCAGAGTTGGGGACAAAATATCACAATTTTACTTCAACTCTGTAGAACCAAGAATCGATGTGAGAGGCGAAATTTAAAAAATAATACAAATTTTAAAATAATGATGAGTATTTAATTTTAATATTGATAATGTTTTTAATTAATATAATCATCTTCTACGTGTTTTTTATGTTTTGAAAGTTATGTATAATAACATTATTATTTATATCAATCCCCAAATTTATTAAATTTATTTTTAATAGAACAGGAATGCTCTATCTGAAAACCTAAATTTATTTATATATTTTTATAAAATGATTTTGATGAATATAGATATTTATGCCCATTACTTTGCATGGTAAGAGATTTTTGATAAATTTTGGGAAAATTAGAGTTTACCTATATCTTAATCAAATCTTGTGGGAGACAAATTAAAATTTATGATTTATCCAATTTCAATTAGTATTGAACTTGTACTATCTATTCAAAAGTCTTGCTCATATTATTTAAACTTATGCATGATCAGCACATCTTGATATTAATTATGTCTTATACACCGTTAGTTTAATCTCATTGGACTGAAAGTATATTTTATAACTCAGATCTAATCGTGCACATGCATGCATTATCCTAATAAATTAATATTAGGACGTCTCTGATTAGAGAATATATATAATTGTAAACAGTTAGATACAATACAATGAGAGTATTGTGAGTGGAATGGGTTGGTTGGACTAGACTCATTTCGACTCCCTTGTCTTTCAGTAGACCCATTTCTCCTCTCTTGGACTAGACCAGACCCATTATTTTCTATTTTCTTCTATTGGATCAGACCCACATGGATTCTCTTCTTCACTATTGGACCTAATCCACTTCTTTCTCTCGTATTGGACCAAACCAACATGTAATTTCTTGGCAAAATAAATTAAAATTTGCACTTCAAGTTCAACCATAACATGCGGTGCATTTAATAAGAAATAAAATTGGCAAAAATCTATTGAAGTAAACTACTAATCTTGAAGCTTTAAAGTTTTTGTTCATTTATTGAGAAATTTAATTACTATCGTCTTTGATGAGGCACATGATTCATGTCTTCTTCAGCCTTCACAAGCCCTGCCTATAAAGTTCAAATATATGCAGAAATTAAAGAAAACTTGGATAATTAAGTTGACCCTGCGCTCAACTAAATAATCTAGAGTAGTCACCTAATTATATATACTAATTAATTATCTTAGTTTAAATTAAGCCAAATGTGACTAAACCTTGAACCACTCTAATCCTAAAGCACACTTCACCCAGTACCAGACAAGTTGCAACATCACAGAAGTTGATAGCTTTAATAGCTCATCATATATTCCAAATTTCAAATTTGAATTGGCTGCTTCACCTAAAACTTTTGAGCCACTAAACCACAATTCTACAGCCGCCTGATTTAATATTCTAAGAAAATTATTTGTGTAGACCCCTTTCCTGGACAGAGCAATTGTTATTAGGTAAAACTCGCTCTAAAATATGACTTGTAAGAGGAGAGTTGTTAATAAGCCATCTGCTAATCCCATACTTATTGTATATGGGAAGCTAACAGAGTCATGTTTATCGCATACCAATTTTGACCCAAGTTAGATATATACTTATAATGAGTAAACGGATGACACTTTTCCAACCAAAAAGTTTTAAAATACCACCTTTTTACCCAAAGTTTATATTCTGTTAATACCTAAAGCCGATTTCAGTTGATTCTGACAACAAAAATTCTCTTTGTCATTATCATTTAAACCTCTGATATCTTTTCTGTAAAACCCCTTTCACTTTGACACTTGATTTATCGTTGATTGTCGGTCACCGCAAAGCTAAGGTTTTTTGTTTTTAGCTGATTTTCAGCGGCAAATATTCAATCGATTACCACCATTTAATCCATCAACCTTCACTCTACAAAACCCCTCCGACCTTGGTTCTTAGTAACTTGTCAGACACTGGTTGAGAAAGTGAAATGTATTGTGGGTATTAATAGAATATAAACTTTGGGTGAGAAAGTAGTATTTTTGAAACATTTTGGGTGGGAAATAGTCGTTTACTCTAATTATAGTACATTAAAAAAAAAAAATTGACATCAAATATTCTTATATTTTACTATAAAAGCTTTAAAGTATAATATCTTACTTGGAGTGAAAGAATACTGGTTTCATTTTAGAATAACCCCACAAATCATATATTCATTAGACTTGTTGTTCCGCTCCCTAGAAAAAACTCAACTCACAATTTTATGCCTATTGGTCATACCTCACAATATATAAGATAAAGATTATTATCCATGACTTTATTTTTAGGTTGTTTTGATTTAGACGCTACATCACTTAAGTTTTGATTAAAGGAAGGAATGATGCCCACAATTCAATTGTCCCTTTAATCTCTTTTAATATTCCACATTATCTTGTGAAAAAGTCTACATCAATTCTTCCATGAAAATTGTATAAAATAATATTTTCTTAGTGTTGTGCATGTTTTCTACGGCCTAATTTGTGCCACCTATCCATACATCATATTGAGATCTGATGATCAGAATCATCCCACGTGTCGCTCTTATAACAGATGACTTCACTAGCTAACTCATCAGTATTAACTATTAAGCATGGATGGGGATGACTCAAATCTAAATTAAGGAGGATTGTCAGATAGTATGTATAAAAGGGAGACATCACCTCCATTTTGGGAGACCGACTATTGACACAAGCATAGGAAATCACTTAGAGAAAGTTTTAGTTCTCTATTACATATTTTATCCCATAATCATCTTGTGTGTAAAGCAAATACAAAATAATAATATAACAATGGACATATGTTTGGTTCCAACCCGTCGAACCACTTTAAAAACCTCTTTTGTTTTCATATTGTGGATTCTCCAATCTATTCTTGGCTAATTAATCTTAATCACACACACATCATATTCAATCTTGCCTTGATCGATTGGATATCTCTGATTGTTGTGATTTTTCTTAACAACACTTAGGTTCTTCTTAGATCTCCCTGTTAGTTTGTTTAGCTAATTCAACAGTTAGGTCTATTGAAGATGTACATAAGAAGAAGGATCTTCAGAAAAATAGAATGGAAGAGAAGAGTACTTAAGTTTTCTAATTAATTGACCAAATTAAAATAAATCAATTTATAGTCTTTTGTTATTTAATATGAAAGAAAAGCAGTTGAACCAAACAAATAAAAAGAGCCGGATGGATTATGTTTTATTCTAATTTCTTTTTCATACTTTAACCAATAAAGAAGATTCAACCCAAAACGTATTTCCAGCTGCATGCATCACGAGGAAAGGGGACAAATCAACCTGTTCTTCACGTCAAAACCGCTGACCTGTCTCTCCCACGTCACCATAACCAAACTCACCTCCACCATTAATTGCTAATATAATATAATATTATAGGGTTACTAGATGAAATGCATGCATGAAATTGAAATCATTAATTTTGTTTGATGGTTTTGAAGAAACGATGTCGTTGTAGCTTGAACTTTCTTTGGTTGATGATGTAGAAGATTGAAACTTGGAAGAAATGTGAATAAGTAGAATTAGGTTATGAAGACTGGGACAAGTTAAGTCTTTGTGTGATATAATACTGTTTGAATTTTCAGTTCAGATTTAAATTAGACTCTCTCAATTAGACTTTCCAAGAAAGCGAAAGAAATTCACTTTAATTTGAAACATTCAAGTTATGCAGAGCTTACATGTGACAATTCAAGAATCAAGATTTTCATCCACAAACACACAAAAGGTTTTTAATTAATTTCTTCTCAGCACCAACCCACTTTGTGTTATTTTCTTTGTTTCCGCACTTATCTTTAGAGCTATATACCAAATATTGCTTCATTGTTCTTCCAGGTTCAGGAGCCAAGTGCTCTACAAACTGAAGCAACGGTGGCGGGGCAATTCGCGAGGAAGCTGCTTCAAATTCTTTTCTACTTTCACTTACTCCTAATCACGATCTTGACAATTTTCTTAACAATACGCGGCGTTGTTTCAGCTGACAAGCACCATTTCTACCCCAGGAGATGGTACCCTCCCTTGCTTACTTCAGTTGCTAGCGTTGGAGTTTTCTCTTTCGCTTGGCAATGGATAACTTACTCCAATCCTTCAAAAGCCATCAAAATATGCTTCTGGCTTGGCCCGTTGTCGACGTGTGCAGTTGGTATAGTATTTTTATTAATTAGTTCTGCAGCTTGTTCAGCAGTAGGTGCCATTTTTATCATTTCTGCATTCATTCAAACCCTCTACACTTGTTGGGTCAATCCCAGATTTGAATATGCTGCCAAGATTTTATCAGTCTCCGCAGCTTTTCCTCCTGCTAAAACTACAGTTTTGGTCACTCTATCAATAATCACAAGTGTTGTATATACCTCTTTATTGATGTCTGGCATTGGAGGAGCCACTGCAGTTGGAACTAAATTAGACACCTTGTTCATAGTGGTGATCCTGCTCAGCCTGGCCTGGAGTATGCAAGTGATCAAGAATATATTGCAAGTTACTGTATCAAGAATCAAATACATTCACTTCGCATACGGGGCGGATATGGATACACAAATTGCTTTTCGTGATACGATGAATCATTTGGTTGGGAGTGTATGCATTGGTTCAATATTCGTTCCAATTTTTGGGGTCATTCGTGCTTCAGGACGAGGCATCAGTTTGATCGCTGGGGGTACAGATGAGTTCTTGTTCTCCTGTGCTAATTGTTACTCAAATGTAGCTGCAACTCTTGGAACACATGGAAACCGGTGGGGTTTTGTGCATGTAGGAGTTTACAATAAGGGATTCGTCCAGGCGTCTGTTGATACCTGGGAAACGTTCAGGCAAGTTGGGTTGGAAACACTCATCGACTCTGATCTCACAGGGGCGTTCTGTTTTTTCAGCGGTGTAGCAGGGGGCGCAGTATGCACTCTTGTTGCAGGAACATGGACACTTCTTGTTCAGAAGAGCTACGCCGCTGAAGTGTCTATATATGCTTTCTTCATCGGCTATTTCATGGTAAAAGATTCTGGAATCATAAACATATCTTAACTTCAAACCTGTAAACAAACTAACTCCTGTGGTTTGTTGGCTATGTTTCAGTGTCGGATAGCTTTGGCATGGCCACAAGCATGTGTTTCAGCTTATTATGTTGCTTACTCTGAGAACCAACAGAACCCTCGATTCGATTCAACAATCCCTGCTCGCATGCAAGAGCTTCAGAGATATCAAACTTAACAAACATTAGAGCAAATCCAAGCATTTATATATAAATACCCGATGATGTTGAAGATATTCACCATCTAGCAAAAGATCAGTGATGTTGAGGAGCATATAGGCAATGTAAAGGCTTGATAGGATGATACACGGAGAGAAAGATGAAATAATTTCAAAGATTTTGAAACTTTTTCTTTCTATTTGGCAAATAACGGATGCACCTATTTCATGGTGCATATTTGAATACAATTATATAACCATATAATACCAAATATTTTACATATCAATTAACTATGCGATGACATTTGATAGGGTTCCAATACCGATGCCAACTCAGACAAAACTGAAACCATATGAGTGTTCTTGTAAGTTCCATACCAGAATCGAGAATTTCAAGAGAACGTGTGCATTTTTCTTCCATTATACAACAAAATAATAACAGATTACTAGAAACAAAGATCATATATCAGTGAACTAAAGGTCAAAAACTCAAGTAATCACCTTGATTTTTGGTTCAGTCCGTTCACCTTATTTTTTTCTACAGTACTAAGTGCATTTGTAAATAAAGAAAATATGATATATAGCGGAGAAATAACCTTACAGAGATCATTCAAGTATGATACAACACTAGAAATTTTCCCTTTTCACTATAGATTCAACAAATATGGCAGTGAAACAAATGCTGTTAAAAACCGTGACAAGTATGGAATGTAAATTCACCATGTCGATGTTGAGCTACAAGGCTATAATAAATTCTGATAAAAGAAGACAAGCAAAATAGATAAGTCATTTGGGTCCACGATGACCTCGCCCACCACATTCAGCGCACATAATGTTACCAGTTCCCCCACAACCTGCACAGAAAAATTATCAAATTAAAGCTTTGTGTTTTCCAAGCATAAACAGAAACAGAAACTAGATAATTAACAGTATGCCTAACTGTCTCATTTTTCTTCAAGAGTGGAAATTGTTAATTATGGGGTATCAGTAATCTCAGATTGACTTACACTGACATTACAGGAAAACTTACCACAGAATTCAAAAATTCCCAAACATTCTGAACTTCATACTACTTTCTTATATTATAACTTCCAAAGATATACATATATCACTACGAAACTTGATTGGATCAAGAAACATCAAGCTAACTAAGTATTTTCCTAGTAACAGGCTCAAACAGACCTAAACTGGGTGGGAAGGCATATCAAAGTAATTAGGGAGATCACAAAGCAATTTTGAAGGTGAAAATAAACTGATTACTGAAGGGGCCTTTGAATCCAATAGTTTTAGAAAGAGATACCACATTTAAATGTATAAATGTTACATTAAGGAAGACAGTAGGAATTAAGAAATGCCTAGAAATATAAAGCCAGCAAAAAACAATCTTGTCTAGATCTTTAACTGAATCATCCATAAAAGGGAAAAACCTTGACGATAAAAAATGGCCATTTGCTACAGACTAAAGTTCAAACAAAAATGATATCATGTAATGCTAACCCAAAAAATACTCATGAAAGTCAATTTAGGAATATGGAGAAAATTGTCAAGGGCATATCTATCCATGAAAATTTACATGCACTTTGAAGTCAAAAGTTGAACTGGAGAGAGAAGAAGTTTACCTAGGCAGCGCACTTTGACAATGATACCCTGGCTCTCTAGTATCGAGTCCACATATAGGCCTGAACCAGAGCAAGTGGTGCAAAGGACTGCACCTTTAGCTTGGCAATCAGTGCACCGGAGATTATTTCCAATTACTTTTTCAGCGAGTGATAGCCCAATCGGCTTCTCAATTCTTTCCTCCGGAATAGGCTTATCATAACAAAACAGAGATTCAAGACTGCTTCTTTGCCTCTGCATATCTCCAACCGAACTTGACTCAGCCTGCAACATCAAAGATGTATCCTTTAGATATTACACAGAGCAACACAATGCGAAAACCTTCAATCAATTTTCATCATCCCAAAGTATACACATAAGCACAAATGGAACTTTATTTCTCAAACCAGTTGCATACAGCTCCCCATCTCTCAAATAATTTGGTATTTATGAGTAACAATCTACACGAAAAACTCGATATCGACTCAATTAGGAGGCCCATCTCTAAATTGGCAATCTTTAAATACCCTCAATCCCTTCTTGAAGAAACAAGTAATCTTTAAACAATAATTTATCAAGAACAATCAACGTTCCAGCTAAAAGACTTTTACAAGTTAAAGCATCACAGAAATTATGAACAAATTGCTTGGTTGATTATTGGACATATTACAATCTACAACATATTAAATCAAAGAAAATCACTACCTTTTGAATCACACGTGTTAAAGAAATGTATCTAAACAATTAAAAGAACCCAATAAATCGATTAATTAAAATAATTAAAAGAAATGAAAACCCAACTAATGCAATTTAAGTTTAAGAAAAATACAACTTACCCCATTTGAAAAAGAGGGAGAAAGAGAACCGTAAGAGATGGCGCAGATTCTTCTAGTGGAGTGGCATGTACTGAATTGAAACCCAAAACTGAAATCATTTTGTTTATTGTTATGAACCAATCTTGAGGAGGAGACGGAGGAGCCAACGGATGAAGCTAATCTCAGAGTAGAATCCATTAGAAGTTAAAAACACATGCACAAAACTGTGAAGCGGAAAATTAGAGGATGAACAAGTAATTAGAGAATTGAAGAAAGCTGCATAAATATGGGCCGAAACAGAAGATAGCTTTGGAGAAATCGCCGGTTGTTTCTGAGTTTTTATTTTTGTCTGTGGGTGGGGATTATCTAAATTTTATTTGATAAAGAGCAAACAATATTTACCCACTCCAAGTTTGGCGAAGCTACTAGCTCCCACTCATGGTTTCATAAATTTCAGATTCACACCCTTAAATTAACCAAAAATTATTTAATTCAATGCTTAAAGGGTAAAATGGTCAGTACACAGCTGTCCCACCCTTTTCTCTCTCTCCTTTCACTCCTTCCTTTCTCTCCCAGATTTTAGACGGATTTCAATAGGATTTTGCACCAAAATTGACAGAAATCATCTCCTTATCACCTATTGCACCTTTCCCAAGCCTAATTGGTTCGTTGTCGGACTGATCTTGCACCGTTTTCGCATTGTATGTGCAACCCCTAGCCTTGCTCGACCGACTATTCTTAGGCCCAATCTAGACGGTTTCCTACGTCGATTAAACCACCTAACTCTATCATCATCTTCCTCTCGCCATCCTCTTCAAAACCCTCACCAGCATTGCCACCAACAACTATCATTTCCACCTTTCCCGAGTATATCTCTCCATCACGACATGCATTATCGTTTCCACCTTTCTTGACTATATCTCTCCATTGCAACGTGAGCATGACTTTGTTGCATTTGCACTGAATCTGTTGTCCACTGCCAACATCAAGCTCTCTCTTCTTCCTTGACAAACTGATTACCATCTCAGGCCGCACCGGTTGCCGTTTCCTACTCATGATCATCGTTCATTTTTCGAATTTGTGAGTGGGTGGTGGTTTGGGTGATTTGGTGGTTGAATTTATAAGTGATTTGCTGGTGGTTTGTGGTGATTGTTTAGTGGTGGCGGGGCTGACTTTGGGGTTTAGAGGGATTGTGACGGTGGTGGATAGGTGGAATAGTGGTGGGTGGTGGTGACTTTAGGGTTTCGGTCATGATGGTGATGAATGGTGGTGGCTGGATGGTGGTGGTGGTTGGATGGTGATGGTGGTGGTGGTGGTGGTGGTGGTGGTGGTAATGGTGGTGGCTGGATGGTGATGGTGGCTAGGTGGCGGTGTAATCAAAAGTCAAGGATAGTATGGTAATAGCACTGTTTGCAATTGTGTCATAAGTCAAAATTCATTAACAGTGCTAATTTAAGGTGAGAACCATGGGTGGGAACTTATGGATTTGCCAAACCTTGGGTGGGTACATGTCGGCTGTCGCTTACTCTTTAATAAATTTTACAAAGTGGCAGCAATTATGTAACCGAGATTTACATAGCTTTTCTTGCTGTAATATATTTTTGAAGTTATCTTTGTTAAGATTGTTACCATACAAATTATTTAATTAATTTTTTTTTTTTTTTTTTTTTTGGTATGATCAGGGTATCTAAACCAGTTTATATACACCTCAACTAATTCCTTGGGACTTCGAATAACCGACTGGATAAGAACTCCAGTGACTACTCTTATTAGCACTCGAAGATAGACTCAAACTTAAAACATCTTAAATAATATTCAAGAGTCTCTATTGAAATACAAACAAACAAATTATTTAGATTATCAATATATTAAATATATATAAATAATAAAAACTATATTGAAATAAGTAAATATTTTATCTATTAATGATAGTAATAATTCACGTGAAAACAATCATATATTTTTACAATCAAAACTTATAAATTTTAATTCTACACTTATAGAAAAGACTTTACAGCATTGCAAATGGAATCGATTAAAATGAGTAACAACAAATAAAAACTAATGAATGATAAATATTTTCTAAAACTTGAAATATTCTCATGAAATTAAATATACATTTATATTTGTAGAAATAAATAAGAAATATTTTAAACCTTTAAAAATAAATATGTAAATATGTTTTGTATAAGTTGCTATCCACATCTTAGGTCTTAGCCACAAAAATATTTTTATATAAATTTTTTTGAATTTAATAATATTTAAAAGTATTGTATGTGCAGATCCTTCTACATTTGATTAGGAGAACTCTGGGTTAGGCTTTACTCAAGAATTAAGCCCATGATCAAGTCGTGAACCCTTTTGGGCTTGAGCCTTTTACAGATTTGGCATTTCGGTTTCTCATTAAACTTCCCATAAATACGATGGACTGAAATATTAATCCTAGTAGAATCACTTTATAAATACATTTAGATTTATAATTGAATAAAAAAATTTGAAAAATATAAAAGTCCTCAGCAACCGTTAAGTCAACAACCGCTAACCATCGTTTATCCCCAGCAGCCACTGTCGACCAAGACCAAGTACGTCCGACAATAAAATGATGGATTTACCCAAATTTAACCTATTCAGTATTCACCCCACCCCAAATGATGGATTTTGTTGTCATCCCTAAATAAAACGTTGGGCATTAGCACTACTTCTTTTTATTTTATTTTTATTTATTTCATCTAAGTATTTGTAGTAGAAAAATTTGACTAAGACATATCCATTATAAAAGGCATGTCGGCATATTTACAAAGATTTTCAAACCCTTCAACATCACACTAACTGTCCAAATATAAATGATGCTAAGAGGTTGTAAATTACTTTCTTATTAAAATACTTTAAATAAATGAAATTACACCTAATATCCAATGGTCACCCCTATTAGGGGCTAAGGTGAATTGAATTGAGACCCTGAAACTACTTGACCAGATAAGAGTTTCAGTGGTCATCCCTTAATAAGAGTTAAGGTGAATCGAACTTAGGACCGTAATACATCTAAGGGTCTTAGTTGACTACTTGACCACCCAATAATGGTTAGAACTATCTCATTTTGTTAGCTCTTTAGTCTCCTTTAATGTTATTCAAATTTGGGTCTCTCATTTCTTTGTTCCAAGTAAGTCCTATTAGAAATTGAAATAAGTAAGATAAGGAAAGTTGTTTTTCTCTTCTTTTTCTTTAGATATTTCATTGTCTGGTGATCTAAAAATATCTCCAACTCATATTTATCTAAAAATTCAATTTCTCTCTAATTACATAAAAACTATGAAAATATGTGAAAGGATTTGATATCTTTCAACAATCCAACCAAATAAAAGCAGAGATGGGTTGGCCTTTTCTTCTTCACTAAGTTCTCTCGTCTATTCAATCAATAATCCCTCCCTTTCATTCTTGTCTTTTTATTAATTACACACTTATCTGCCTTCACACTACGAGCTTCTTCCGTGGACACCCCTAATGTTGTGGGTATATGAGAAGTCCCACAGGTTTAGGAATATAACATTTACAACCTTATAATTGACAAATGTTTGTGAAGAATTAATTCTGACATAGAATCTTGGGTACAATGACTATCCTATGACCAAAAAAAAAAAAAAAAATAAAAAAAAAATAAACCTGATATATGGCACTTGTCACAGGTTGAAATATTAAATTTATTGTAATAATATTGATTTTTGATGTGCCATACTATCTTAACATTGTGATAATTACTTTTCACAAACATACACCAATTATAAGGGTATAAGTGTCTCATTCCTAAACCTGTGGGTGTTTTACGTAGTTTCACTAAACCTTAGGAGTGTTACGATAGAGTCCTATGTTAGAAAAAATTCCTAATTGTGGGCTTACATTAATTATATGTTGTTTTAATTAAAACGAGTAATTGTATAGTCCACTTATATATCCTAATGGGCTTAATGTGATCATATTAAAGTTTGCAATATTACACTTCATTTGATTATTTTAGAACGAGAAAGTGTGGGTTTGAGCATGTAATAGGCTTTGAGTATATTAGGCCTTTAATGAAAATGCTCAATAAACCAATATTAAATTGGCTAAGTCCCATTAACAAGCGCTAAATCGAACAACTTAACATATGTTATTAGAGAGGAAGACTTACGTTTTTTATGGCTTGTGAAAACCTATCACTTCTACCGTAAAGAATTAAAGAATAAAAAATCATAATTGTTTATAGCCTTTCACTATTAATTCAGTATTCTATAATTTATTTGTTTATCTTTTAAGATATTATTGATTATGACTGAATTCTATTCACATTATTGATTGAGTGAAAGATAAAATTCTTCTTTAATTAGCTTATACCTTCTTCACACTACTCTTTAGTAGTTCACATTGACCTTTTGTCAATGTTAATCAATCTAATTCTTTTCCAATAAAAAAAAAATATTCTAATTGTAGATGTTAGGTTAAAGTTCCTATTCAAAAATATAAGTCAATAAAAGTCTAATAAAATAATAATATTTAAACTCTAATCGAAATTTATATTAACTTAATAATAGATGCATGTTTCAAGAATTTTCCGCTATGAACTAATAAAGACTAGAAGATAAAATTTTATAATTCTTATTATGAAAAAAAAAATTAACTGAAATTTTATCCAGTGCGAGAAAACTTGAGCGAATATTTTCCTCGTTTCCTGCACGTTTCAATAAATATAGCAAATCTCTCTCTCTCTCTCTCTCTCTCTCTCTCTCTCTCTCTCTCTCTCTCTCTCTCTATATATATATATATATACACTCACGCGAATTATTCGTCATGTGACACATACACATAAGATTTGTGGTTGTTATGTAGTTGAATTTTATTGTTGATATTGTAGAGAGATATTAATTGCTGAATTGATATTCCAAATCCAAAGAAAAAAATATACCTATTTGAGTGACACGTAGGACACTTATTTTTTTTTTTATCTCTAAAATTATTTTATTTTGGAGCTCTAGAATTGCTCTCTCTTGCCACGTTGAATGTGTGGTTTAATGAGATATTTTTAGCTCTAAGATTCATGAATACCCATACTAGTTGTTGGCCATGAATACCTATATGTACAAATAGAACAATTCTATGAGTTCCAAAATGTGTCACATGACGAACAACTCTCATGAGTATTCATATATATATATATATATATATAAAGCTGAATACTCATGCAAGTTGTTCGTCATGTGACACATTTTGGGACTCATAGAATTGTTCTATTTTGACAGATAGGATTTGTGGTTGTTATGTGATTAAATTTGATTGGTGATGTTGTAGAGAGATATTAATTGCTGAATTGATATTTTAAATCCAAAGGTAAAAAGATACCTATTTGAGTGACACATAGGACACTTTT